GTCCTGTCCTGTCTCAACATGTCCTGTCTCAACATGTCCTGTCTCAACATGTCCTCAACATGTCCTGTCCTGTCTCAACATGTCCTGTCCTGACATGTCTTGTCTCAACATGTCCTGTCTTGACATGTCCTGTCCTGACATGTCCTGTCTCAACCTGTCCTGTCCTGACATGTCCTGTCTCAACATGTCCTGTCTTGACATGTCCTGTCCTGACATGTCCTGTCTCAACATGTCCTGTCCTGACATGTCTTGTCTCAACATGTCCTGTCTCAACATGTCCTGTCCTGACATGTCCTGTCTCAACATGTCCTGTCCTGTCTCAACATGTCCTGTCCTGTCATGTCCTGTCTCAACATGTCCTGTCCTGACATGTCCTGTCTCAACATGTCCTGCCCTGACATGTCCTGTCCTGACATGTCCTGTCCTGACATGTCCTGTATCAACATGTCCTGTCCTGTCTCAACATGTCCTGTCCTGACATGTCCTGTCTCAACATGTCCTGTCTTGACATGTCCTGTCCTGACAAGTCCTGTCTCAACATGTCCTGTCTCAACATGTCCTGTCCTGACATGTCCTGTCCTGTCTCAACATGTCCTGTCCTGACATGTCCTGTCTCAACATGTCCTGTCCTGACAAGTCCTGTCTCAACATGTCCTGTCCTGACATGTCCTGTCTTGACATGTCCTGTCTCAACATGTCCTGTCTTGACATGTCCTGTCCTGACAAGTCCTGTCTCAACATGTCCTGTCTCAACATGTCCTGTCCTGACATGTCCTGTCCTGTCTCAACATGTCCTGTCCTGACATGTCCTGTCCTGTCTCAACATGTCCTGTCCTGACATGTCCTGTCTCAACATGTCCTGACAAGTCCTTACGTTTTGTGTCCCATTTATTGATACAGTTTGGACCTGGTTCCAGTGTGACCCATGTTGTGGGTCTGACCCATTAACCTGCTTGGTCTCAGGTTCTGACTCACCTGCTCTTACTGTCTTTGCCTCTGAGGCGTGCATCGTGACCTTTGGCCCCCTGCGACTCCCAGGTAACCGTGTCGCCCTGAACCTTCAGCTCAGCGTGGGCCGTTGCTGCATCAAATCCAAAATGAAAAGCTGCAGACAAACAAGGACGTAGTGAGACATCATCTGTTCCCCCATCTTTGTTCACTAACGGCTTCCTGTGTTTACCTCTGGTCTCCATGGTGACGGGCTCGGAGAACTCTCCAGCAGCTGCTTTGTTCTTTGCTCGAACTCGAACAACAACAAACGTAGAGTCAAACTTCAAACCTGGAACAAGAAAACACACCGGTGTTGCTAGGCAACAGAGACGACATCAGACTATGATGTCGTGCGTGAGGTCACATGTGACGTCGGGTGTGTGATGTCASGTGTGATGTCAGGTGTGTGAGGTGACGATATGGAACATTCGTCCCTCAGACGTGGGACGTTTGTCTCTCCGACGTGGGACGTTCGTCCCTCAGAGTTGGGACATTTGTCCCTCAGACATGGGACGTTTGTCCCTCAGAGTTGGGACATTTGTCCCTCAGACATGGGACGTTTGTCCCTCAGAATTGGGACGTTTGTCTCTCCGATGTGGGACGTTTGTCCCTCAGACGTGAGACGTTTGTCCCTCAGAGTTGGGACGTTTGTCTCTCCGACGTGGGACGTTCGTCCCTCAGAGTTGGGACATTTGTCCCTCAGACATGGGACGTTTGTCCCTCAGAATTGGGACGTTTGTCTCTCCAATGTGGGACGTTCGTCCCTCAGACGTGAGACGTTTGTCCCTCAGAGTTGGGACGTTTGTCTCTCCGACGTGGGACGTTCGTCTCTCAGAGTTGGGACGTTTGTCTCTCCGACATGGGAGGTTCGTCCCTCAGAGTTGGGACGTTTGTCTCTCCGACGTGGGACGTTCGTCCCTCAGACGTGAGACGTTTGTCTCTCCGACGTGGGACGTTTGTCCCTCAGAGTTGGGACGTTTGTCCCTCAGACGTGGGACGTTCGTCCCTCAGAGTTAGGACGTTCGTCCCTCAGAGTTAGGACGTTTGTCCCTCAGACGTGGGACGTTTGTCCCTCAGAGTTGGGACGTTTGTCCCTCAGAGTTGGGACGTTTGTCTCTCCGACGTGGGACGTTCGTCCCTCAGAGTTAGGACGTTCGTCCCTCAGAGTTAGGACGTTTGTCCCTCAGACGTGGGA